AAAACAAAATGTCATTAAACTCGAATTTTCCTTAAAATTAATGATATTTACATGGTAGAATTGAGAAAGAAAATCATATTTTTTCATTTTTGTTGATGAAGTGAAATGAAGTTACATTTGACAAGGTAAATTGCAGAAAATGCTGAGTTGGATGCCTGGTTGATGAATACAGGTAGATGCATCAACGCTTGGGAACATTGATATGTCAAAATAAGAAAGCATATGCCGGTGTGTAATAGCAAATATTATGAGTCATATGTAAAATTGCAATTTTAACATATACGCGGAAATACATAAGGATAATAAAAGTGAGAGCACATATGTAAAACCCTTATATTCGGATAGCAGTTTTAGTAATGGAAATGACAATTTTAATCCAAATCGATTGTGTTAATCCCTTTATATGTAACCGTACTCTAAGGGAGAATGGAGAGAAAATTTATTGCCATCATTTTACAAAAATATTCTCCAAACCCGTTCATAGTTTATACGATTTTGTGGGACTGTGTATATGGTTAATAAAGTCATACTTCGGATAGCATACTCTGCTGATGATGGGAACAACTTAAACCAGAAAAAGTACTTAATTCCCTCTTTCCTTGGAATATATCATGACAAAATTAATGAGTTAAAGTAAATTCAAATAAGGTTTTCCATCTTTGCATTTTTTAAAATTTACCTTGTGTCAAATTTCACTGCATAGAAAGCACGTTCCCATCTCTGATTTGTGTATCTACAATTGATTTATAAATAAGCATTTTGACAATGAGATGTTTTCAAATGAATAATTTTGAAAAAAAATGTAAATATATAATTGCGCGACTTTACTTTCTTAATTCTACCATGGAATATATTTGTCCTGAAAATTTTTGATATATTTTTAGCATCATTTAATTAAAACCTCAATCCTTTATTAAAAATAATCCATCAACAGTGATTCAGTTGTAATTTTTAAATCTCTGTGATTAAGTAAAAAATATTATTTTCAAATCTTTTATGTATTTTTTTTTTTTGCTTTCAATATTTAAGTATTTTTTATGCAATTTCTCTGGTTGCGATTAAAAAAGCCAAGTCTCAATTGCGATAAGAAAACCAAAAAAAAAAAACACACAACCACAAACAGACGGCAAGAACAATTGCCCGGTCCCGCTATGTAAATATATATCGTGTTTTAGTTATTTGCGTGGCGTTATGGCGCGTAGATCGTTGTTAGTTGCCGCGTGCATTTGTTGCATTGCCATCGGCATTGTACGGGCCAAGCTGTATACCTCAACACAAAATAATACATATTTTATTGAAGCGCGTCATAAGGTATGGAGAAATTTTCGATAAAGAGGAGGAGGAGGTTTTATGGAAAGATTAATGGAGGATTTAATGGGACTTGGAAGCAGGAGTTGTTGGCGATAAAAAATTAGGTTTTTCTTTGAAGACTAAAAAGTGAAGTTTATAGAAGTTGTAATCCTTATTGATAAGGAGTACTGAAAAATATATGGTCTGTTCCAGAACTGCAAGCATGTAAAGGTTTTTTTTTTACTACGATAACCGATTTGTCACTCTATGATATCGAAAAAAATGTAAAACTTGTATATACTTGCAGGTTTTGGAACAGAACAAGACTTATCTACGCTTCTTAAGGTGAGAATACATAGAGCGCTTTTTTTGGCTGGCTTAAGTCATCGGCTGGCTTATTCATAGAGAAGCAAAGGAGTTTTAGGTTGACTTAGTTCGATTTTGGCCCTAGGTTGGCTTAGTTCGGTTTTGGTCATACGCTCCTTTGTTTTTTTTTTTTTTCAAAGAACCCAGCCGATGACTTAAGTCAGACAAGAAAGCGTTCAACGTATTCTTACCTTTAAGATGCCCTTATAAACGATTGAAATTATGAATTTGTGGTCGATGAAATTCTCCAATCAAATGACAAATACGACTGAAAGTGGATCAGTATTTGTAGATATTAGACATTTTAGCATTTCTGCGCTGCTGCAGAACTGAAAGAATATAAAAGCTTTGTACTACGATAACCGGTTTCCTTTTATGATATCGAAAAAAATTGCAAAACTTGTAGATACTTGCAGGTTCTGGAACAGAGAAGACTTATATACGCTTCTTAAGGTGAGAATACATAGAACGTTTTTTTTTTTGGCTGGCTTAAGTCATCGGTTGGCTTCTTCGTAGAGAAACAAAGGAGTTTTAGGTTGACTTAGTTCGATTATGGCCACAGGTTGATTTAGTTCGATTTTGGTCATACGCTCCTTTGTTATTTTCCAAAGAAGCCAGCCGATGACTTAAGTCAGACAAAAAAGCCTTTTATGTATTCTCACCCTAAGGTGTCCTTGTAAAGGATTGAAATTATGAATTTGTGGACTGTGAAATTCTCCAATCAAATGAAGAATACTGACTAAAGGTGAATCGGTATTTGTAGATACTAGATATTTTTGCATTTGTGCTCTGCTCCAGAACTGCAAGAATATAAAAGCCTTGTACTACAATAACAGATTTTTCCTTTATGATATCGAAAAAAAATTGCAAAACTTGTAGATACTTGCCGGTTCTGGAACTGAGCAAGATTTATATACGCTTCTTAAGGTGATAATACAATGAACGCTTTTTTTGGCTGGCTTAAGTCATCAGCTGAGCACTTTGTAGAGAAACAAGGGAGTTTTAGGTTGACTTAGTTCGATTTGGGTCCTAATTCAAAATTTATTTATTTATGTTTACAAATCCATTGCATACACACAAATCAGAGATGGGAACCTATTTTCTATACATTTAAGTTTGACAAGGTAAGTTACCAAAAATACAGAGATGGGAATGCTTATTTGAAATGACTTTACCTTTTTAATTTTACCATGGATTTTCAATTAATGATATCAAAAAAATAAAATAAATAAAACTAATAGATTCTTTCAGAACTTTTAAGGTGAGATTACATAAACAGCTTGAAATCTTGGCATGACATATTTTGTGACATGTGGATGTCAGAGCCGCACTCGAATTCTGCCGTCGTTTCCCCTTATAATTTAACATTAATATGCGTAGTCATGATGTCAAGCTTTTTATGTACTCACACCTTTAATTCTCGATTTCAAACATTTCAATATTACCATAAAATCATTATTTCAAATAAGAATATACATCTCTGCATTTTCTGTAACCTATCTTGTCAAATTTTACTCCATTGAAAATTGGTTCTATGGTAGAGTAATACAGGTAGTCGCATCGACACAGCTGCTGGGACAATGAACTGTCAAATCAATTATTGAAATTGGAAATATTGAATGAAAAATTGTTAAAAATCGTTTTGATAGATGAAAAATAAATAAATAAAATAATAAATAAATAAATTTAAAAAAAAATTAAATTTTTTGACATATCAATGTTCCCAGGTTTTCCATGGTGACACATCATATAAAGGAAAACCAGAGCCGCACTCAAATCCTGCCGTGGGTTTTCCTTAAATTTTTTTTACATTAATATTTGTAGCCACGATGCCAAGATTTTTATGTACTCACACCATTATTTCTCGATTTCAATATTTTCAATATAACCTTAAAATAATGTTTTTTCTCCTCTTTTTTCACAGTACAATTGGTTTCAATCGCAAAACCAATGCACTTTACAAAACATGACCCTGCTGAGCATTGAAAATGCCGATAAAAATCGGGAGATACACGATTTAATTAATGAAAACTTTAAAGGTTTGCAAAATTTATCTTTTTCTTGACATTGCATATCAAATATTAAATTCCTCTCTCTCTCTCTCTTTCGCCAGATAAGGAGAAACCTTTGCTCTATATTGGCGCCAATGATTTGGCAAATTTGAAACATTTTTGTTGGACAAAAACAGGTCTGGAATTTGACTATACCAACTGGAGTGAGGGGGAACCGAATAACTATGGTGGCAACGAACATTGTGTCCATATTGGCCTCTATGATGATGACACCTGGAATGATGTGGATTGCTCGATGCGTTTTGGTTACATTTGTGAAGAGAACAAAAAATAAAAGCCAAAATGAGAAAAATATGGTGAAATTAAAAATTAAAATATTTAAAAAATATAAACTTGTGTTCGAAAAATATTCTTAAAACTTACTGAAATTTCTCACATTGGATCTGCAACACTTACAAGAGACAAACTTCAAATTTTACAAAACAAGTAAAAAAGCTGTAAGGGTGGGAATATATAAAGCGCCTTTTTATTTATGAATTCATTTTCCATGGACATAGCATCTCTAAAGAAATTAATAACTCAACAACATATGTTTACATAAGTTGATGTGTGGCCATACAGCTTAACTTTAGTCTAGTCGTATGAAAATAAGGCTATAGAAATAATAAATCAATGACATTTGTTTACATAATTTGATGTGTGGCCATACAGCTTTAGTTCAGTTTAGTCCTATGGAAATAAGGCTCTGTTTACACCATAAATTGCCAAAATAATAATAGAGAACTTTAACTTTCTTTAACTATTATTTTATTTTTTTTAGAAAAAAATATAAATAATATTATTCACATTGGGTTTACTAACTTCTCTAAAATTAGATATGTATAAACGCAAAAATAAAAACTCCATCTTGGTAATAAATGATTAAAATTTTACACAAGTTTTTTTTATTTGATACCAAATATCTACTCATAGTAGAATTATGAAGGGAATCTTCCATCATATAATTTTGCAATTTTTGTAATTAAAATTAAATTTTAAACCTTTGATGGTTGCTGTTGCCGAAATCAAGAATTATTAATTGTGAATTTGATATAATATATTTAACTAATTGTGCAACGAATTTTTATTTAAAGTTTAAATTAATATTTTTTTTTAAATTTAAATTAATTTTTTTTTGTGAGGAACAGCTATCATTTGTCAGTGATTTGATTACCATTTCCCGTGCTTAAATAACGAGGAAAGGTTATCACTTTCCTGTGATTTGCAAACAAGCTGCTATCATATCTCAGTGCTCGGTAATCAAACCGCCGTCAAACATACCATTTGACTTTGATGTCTGTCCAGACTTATTTTTATTGACCATTTGCTGTTGTTTGGAACGCCTTTAAATAAGTTCGGCGAAAAACAGAGAATGAGCTACATAGAACTATGTTTTCTGTTTAGTTTAGTGAGTGAGAGCAGCAATTTGTAGCACACAGTAAAAGGGGAACGTGAAAATTTCAATTTAAACACAAAAACAATGCTTGAAAATAACAAAATTTACTCTAAATCAAATGTGTAATGGATATTTTATAAAATAAATACATTATAATGTCGATGCCAGTGGTTTTTGGGAGTTTATTTGTTGTTACAAACTCTCAAATCGTGGTGCTCCTCCAAAAAACCAAATCTTAATGAGAACAAAAACAAAACCAACAACAACACAAAGACAGCAGCAGCAGCAGCAGCAGAGCAACTACATAGAGATATAAAAAGATTTTTTGTGTTGTGTTTTGTGATTTTTATGTGTTAAAAAAAGAAGCAATAACATTAAGGAATAAAAATGCAAATAATTAATTGATGAAATTAAAATAATGAGAAAACACAAAACAATGTGAAAAATTATGAAGTAATTAAATGTACTATTAAAAATAAATAATAAAGAAAATTATAAAAAGAAAAAAGCTGGACAAGACCAAACGGTAAAGAAGTGACGTCAAAACAGATTTTTTCTTTCATCAAAAACCATTAGCCAGCCAGCTAGAGCAGCGACTCTTAATAATTGAAAAAAAAAATTTTGCTTGAAAAAATCAAGAAAACTGCCCCAAAATGACGGACTGTTTAGATAGCTTATTCAGCAGTATGGCCAATACTTTCAATAGTGAAGTGGATCTGGATAATGCCGAAGTAAATTTAACGGAAGATAAAACATTAAAGTGGCGTAATTTGTCCAAAAATCAATTTGCCTCAAAAGATAAAGATAAGAAAAGCATTGGGGGAAAAACAACGCCAACAGTAGCCGCTGGGGCTACGGTGGCGATAACGACAGAGACGGATAGTCAAAGCGCCAATGGCAACAACAGCAGCTCAGTAACACTTAGTCCCAAAAAAGAAGAGGTAAAAACCGAACAAGAGGAGGAAGTGCAGGAGGTAAAACCCAGCCAGAGCCCCAGCAGCACGTCACATGCAGAACAACATGTTATCGTCGATAAGAAAAAAGAAATTGCGACAAATTTAGAAAATAATAATAGACAAAATCAAACAGGAAATTGTAATGTTCCAGTTAACGAAACAGCAACAGCAAAGTCCGAACAACAATTATTGGATATTAACAACGTTAATATGACCAATAAGAAAGTCCAGAAAAAAAGCACTAGCGGCGAAAATCATCAAGGTCAGCCAGTTTTGTTAGCAAGCAGCTGCAGCAGCTCTACTGTTGCTAACACCAACACACAGACGGCGGAGACAGTGAACCGAGAATTGGCCAAAGATAATGGTTCGAATGTAAGCAGCATAAAAGCGGAAGAAGAAAATAATCAGTCAAATAATAACGGCAACATAAATGGTGAAACACCCACAACAGCATCGAAACCAGAGACGCCAACGTCCTCATCTCCATTAACTGTGGTGGCTGCTGCCAATTCAGATCGACAACAAGTTGTTGCAGTTACAATAAAATCTAATGGCAATTCATCGGGCCATCGCCAACATCAACATCTTACAAACAAAACGGAAGGCAAAGATAATCATGATAGTGGAAATCTTCTTTTGCTCAATCAAAACAAAGATGTTGAGGTGAGCACCAAAACACCAACAACAACAGCGGCAGTGTCGTCGACGCCGTTATTTGTGGCTGATAATAGAGAGCAGAGAGTAACACCAGCTCCACCACAACAAGAGAGCACCAAAACACATGATGGTGACAGCTCTGCCGCGCCAATCTCAGAGAAAGAAACAACACATACTGTGGGCAACAATAACAACAACAACGCCGTTGATGTTAATGATAATAATAAGAATAAAACCAAAAACAACAACAACAACAATGCAAAAGCAAATCAAAATCAATCAGAAATGAAAAATCAAAATGCTGCAATTTCTTCTTCTTCCGTAAATTGTAATAAAAACAAATTAAAACCCATTGAAAAAGAAGTGTCGGAGATGGAGGACAGCAAAAAGAGAGTGGCGGCAGAGGTGTCAGATATAAATAATGATGATAAAATTAACACCCCCAACCAGTCAGAAGCAGAAAAAGAAGGGTGTTCTTTGGCAAATGAAAGTTCAAATGGGGGTGGCGGTGGTACTGGTGGTGGTCATGGAGGTGAGGCTAATAGTAAAAGTGAACCAGAAACGGCGGCCGGTGGCGTTGCTACAGCGGCAAAAGTCAACTGCACAGCTGCTGGTGCTGCTGCGACAGCGGCTAATGACAGCGTTGACAGCACGGGGGATGTTAAAGGTGCAAAAACTGTAAGTATAACAAGTATTTGTGAATGTGTAGTGTTTTTGCTGTTGTTGTGTTGTAGGGGAACAGGCTCTTAGCTGCCAAAGTGTATGAGTAGCCGTTTTTATGATAATTTTTTTTTTCTTAAAATGACTTTTGACTTTTGTAAAAGTGGGGGGGAACGAGATGACAGAAGAGGTGGAAAATAATTTGCCAATGGAGATTTGAAGTCGATTTTTGGGAAAATGCAATAGGGAAAGGTGTTATTTTTTAGAAACCCATATTTATAATGCCAATAAAACAATTATTGAATAATTGATGATGTAGAGCTTAGAACCGATATATACAGAGGTATCATAGAGGGCTATTTGGTCTGAGGTAAAGGAAAATAGCTTTTTGGTATTTTGAAAAGTTTTCATAGTTTTTTCTCCCTTAATAAAGCTGACTAATTAAAGTTTTTCTCTATTCTTTTCTTCATATTCATAATGGAAAAATGTAGCCATCCCTGTCCATATACTTGAGCTTCTATAGATCTACAAATAAATGATAGATCTATAGAAGCCATCCCTGTCGTCCCATCATGCCATAGACTTGAGCTTCTATAGATCTACAAATAAATGGTAGATGTAGATGATGGGATGACAGGGATGGCTACATTTTTCCATTATGAATAAAAGAATAGAGAAAAGCTTTTAAGTAGTCAGTTTTATTTAGGGAGAGTTATATAATTAAGCATTGCGGTCTTAGGGGAAGTCCATACTTCCCGAGTTTTGAACCTTAAAAGTTCCGTTAGTGGGTATCAATAGTACAGTCCCAAAAAAAAAACTCGCTTGAATTGGTACAGATTTACTTAATCATATCCCAAAAAATCAATTTCACTAAAATGTTTTTTTTTTTATTTTCCTTTTCATTTCAGGAGCCTGCCATTGAAACAGATGTCACAATGATCAATTTGGAAATTCCAACCAATATCAATGATGCCAGCATTTCCCAAGCTAGTCCAAATCCTGGGCAAGCAGAGAAAGAACAAACCGAAAAACCCAATGCAAATCAAACGCAAAACAAACGTGGACGTGGTCGTAGTAAGAAATCATTGAACACAGAGAATGAAGGACTAACAGCAACAACAGCAACAAACACACCAGCAGGAGAAACTAACACTGCGGCGAGTAGTGAACAACACAATTCACCAAATTCAAATGAACGCAAGGCGCCAGGACGAAAACGTAAACAATTAGATGAAGAGGTCACGGAAGGAAATACCAATAAACATGATGATGATGAGGGTAAACGTATGAGACGTAGTGAGAGATTGTGTAATCGTTTGGATGGTTTTAAGATTTTGGTAAGTTGGAGCTGGTTTTATTTTTTTAATAAAAAAAACTAATTTAAATTGTTTTTTTTTTAAGGATGAAGAAGTCTCCCATGGCCATGGCGGCGGACATCATGCGGATGATTCGCCAACCCGCAAGGCTCTACGCATACAAATTGATGAAAAAACACCACCCAAAAAACGTGGACGCAAAGCAAAAATACAACTTGAGGCTGAAAAGCATTCCGAGGAACAAATATCCCCCACTGGGGCTGGCGGTAGCAGTAGGCGCCACGGCAACTCAGCCAATGATGCTTCAGTTGTGCTACCAAAACGTTCACAGCGGCGCATAAAGCCCACAACAAAAATACTCGAAAATGATGAGCTACGCTATGAATTCGAAACCAAGAATATTGTTCGCATGACAGCCCAAAATTGGGAAAGCTTGGAACAAACAGATACCACACCCACCCATCAAATTGTACAAAATTCCACAACTGGTTCAAAAATGAAAAGTGAAAAATCCGAAGATAGTAGTTCTCAACAGCATCCCAGTGGTTCAAGTGCCATAAAGAAGAAACTTTTCCCCAAGTCACGCAAAGAAATGGAACAATTGCGAAAACCCTGCCCGGACATAGATAAATTCTTGCATGAAATAAAAACATCCAAATGGAATGTCAATCGTTCTCCGGAAGATAAAAAGCTAAGCAAGAAACAGCAACGGAAACTGGCCAAACAAAAGGAGAAACATTTTGAAAAATTGGGACTACGACGTAATGGCAGCGATGAGATTAGTGACAATGATAGTCTAAGTGATAATGAGGAATTTGTTCCCACCAAACGAGTGCAGGTGGGAAAGCCCAGTGTTACATTGAGGGTGCGCAAAGAATCTACACCACCACAGCCGCATGTCGGTACACAGCCAACCACAAAACCGGTAAATACATCCTCTTCCTCGACAACATCCAATACACGGCGAAATCAAGCGACAAAACCAAAACAAACTTCGAGTGAAAAGTCGTTGGAATTGGATGCAAAACAGCTGAGGAATTTGAATGCCACAGTGACAAGTCAGGCCACCAGTTCCAATGCCAAGAACAGTAATTTGATTTGTCTCTGCCAGGCTACTTCCAAATACTATACACCCAAAACTCCTGAGACTCAATATTGCTGTGCCATTGATAATATTGATGACTTGAAAGTGGGTTGTTCCAATCAACTCACTGGAGAAATACTCAATCTGTTTCGTCCCAGTCAGAGGGTGGGCTATTTGGTATTGTGTGATGATCACAAGAGACGCTTGCAGACGCACAATTCATGTGCAGAATGTGGTATCTTTTGTACTCAGGTAAGTGGTAGTGAGTTTCTTTAATTTTTTCTTATCTAATTTAAGGAACTATTTTCATTTTCAGGGTGAATTTGTCTTGTGTAAAAATCATCACTTTTTCCATGCCTCCTGTGCCCAGCGCATTGTACTCAGTTCAAAATACGATCCTCAACAACCTGCCTCGCGAAATGCTAGTCGTACATTGGTCTTAAAATGTCCCCACTGTGGTCTGGACACAGCCGAAAAGACCACAACCATAACCATGAAAAGTCATACAGTGCCAATATTTTCATCTTCACAGAGACCCTTGGTGGCACCGGTAGCAAGCAATACCAATAACACTGGTGGTGGTAAAGGCAATAATAAAAACAAAAATCCCACAAAATGTTTTACGGAGGCGCCTGGCTTCAAACCCAATACCAAAATTAACTATGAACAACTTATACCGGAATCGGTTATGAATGTTGTTGCTGCCCGGGGTCGAGATCGAAGTACCACTGTAAATGAGTTTACAACCAAAGATATGTATTATGCAGTCAAAAATGATGATCTAGAAAGGGTGGCGGAAATTTTGGGTGAGTGGTAGGATACAGTTTGGATAGTGATACATACTCTTGGATGGGTATCTCTTGGCTATAGAAGATTTACATGATTTCTATATATAGAAATTCTGATAATTTGGGGTTCTTATATTAATATCGGTTTTTTTTCTTGCAGTTTCCAAATATGATATCAGCAGCTGTATGCGTGAATGTTGCATGGGCACCTGTTTGCATTTAGTTGCCACCTTTGGCACCCTTCAAATGGCCTATCTGCTGCTCTGCAAAGGCATTGGCAGCGATTTTATCAATAAAATGGATCAAGAAATGCGCACAGCTGTTATGTGTGCCGTCAATGAAGGCAAATATGATATTGTCAATTTGTTTATACAACATCGTGCCGATTTGGCCATAAGGGTAAGACATTTTGCTTTTGAAATGATTTTTCATTACATATTTTATTTAAATTTTTAGGGTCCTGATGGCCATACAGTCCTGCACATTGCTGCCCGTACAGGAAATTTGGAGATAGTACAATTAATCGTCTATAGCTATAAGGCCAGTAAGAATATATCACAATTTTTAAGTTTTATTAATGCCCAGGATGATGGCGGCTGGACTGCCATGGTGTGGGCTGCTGAATTGGGTCATACGGATATTGTGAGGTGAGTAAATTTTATTGAAAAATATTCTATTAAATATGAAAAAATATAATAATTTTGTTTCATAACTTGCAGCCTACTTTTGCAACAAGGTGCTGATCCCAATATCTGTGATAATGACAATAATACGGTTTTACATTGGGCTGCCCTACACAATAACGATTTGGATACCATATCAGTATTATTGCAAACTGGTATCAATTGTAATATACAAAATGTTGAAGGTGAAACGCCGCTGTAAGTTCTACTTTCGTTAATGGTTATTTCTAATTATTAATTATTCAAAATTTTCCCTATCTTAGCCACATTGCTTGCCGTCATTCTAGTAAAAATCTAAGTTTACTTTTAATTTTCAATGGTGCCGATCTAATGTTAAAGAATCGTGCCGATGAGCTACCCTATAATTGTATACCAAATGAAAATTCCGATTGTGCCCGCCATGTGGGCTTTCAAATGCGTATGCATGCCTTACATCGCCGCCGTTCCCACATTGTTTGTGGTGATATATCGAATGGTCGTGAGCTGTGTCCCATACAGGCGCTGCGTAATGAAAATAATGTAATGCCAGTCGATGAATCTGATCAAATAATGTTACCAGATTTTCGCTACATCACCGATACAATAATTTTACAAAATTCAATACAAATCGATCGTAGAGTTTCGCAAATGCGCATATGTACATGTTTGGATGGGTAAGTGAGAATTTTTGTTAATTATTTAAAAATAAATATATATTTTATTTTTTTCATTTTAGTTGCATTACGGATGGCTGCCAGTGCACTGGTGCTTCTGGCCAAAGTTGGTATACCGCTGAGGGTCGTTTAAGTGTGGATTTCAACTTCGAAGATCCAGCAATAATATTTGAGTGCAATGATGTCTGTGGCTGCAATAAGGTAGAATAAAAGAATGGATATATCCCATAGATTATCCACTATAGAAGACCTCTAAGTCTTATATTGTGTATAGAAGACCCATGGATACTCTGTTGTTAAGAGAACATCTAGAGACTTTAAAATTTATATAGCAGGCCAAGAGATTGTCAGTTATCTATATAAAACCTAGATGTCTTATACTGTTTAAAAGGCATAAGATCTTCTGTTGGCTATTGAAAACCTAAAGGTCTAGTATTGCCTTCAGAAAACCAAGAGACCTTCTATTGTCCATAGAAAATCTAGAGGTGCTCTATTGTTTTTAGAAGACATATTGTCTGAAGAATACCTAGTGGTCTTCTATAGTCTGTATGAGTCCTACAAGTCTTCTATATTCCATAGAAGTGATTTTATGGCTTTAGAATTCTTAAAAGATTATTTTTTTTTTGGGTTTTAGTAATCCCAGATATCTTCTATGTCCCCTTCAGAAGACCAAGAGTCTATCTATTGTTCGTAGCTCATAAAAGTCCTAGAGGTCACATATTGTCTGAGGAACACCTGGTGCTCTTTTGTAGTCCATATAAGACCTACAGGCCTTCTATTTTCTTTAGAAGAACTAGAAGTGATTTTATGGCCTTTTAAATCGAAGAAGGAGTTTTGCTTTTTGTTATCCTAAATTCCTTTTTTTTTTGGAAATTATAGAAAATCTTTTTAAAATTCTTCTTCCAATATTTATTTTGTCATTCTCCCTTTTCAGCGTTTCTGCAAGAACCGTGTTGTACAAAATGGAATTACCATACCCCTGCAAGTTATGGAGTGTGAAGAGACCTTCAAAGGTTGGGGTGTGCGCAGTATGGTACACATACCCAAGGGTACATTTGTGGCCACCTACAGTGGAGAAATTCTAAGCGATCATGAGGCCGATCGTCGCATGGATGATAGTTACTTTTTCGATTTGGGCAATAATCATTGCATTGATGCCAATTATTATGGCAATGTCAGTCGTTTCTTTAATCATTCGTGTGAGGCAAATATTATACCGGTGAGGGTTTTCTATGAACACCAGGATTATCGTTTTCCAAAGATTGCCTTTTTCACATGTCGGGAAGTGGAGGCCGGAGAGGAGTTGTGGTAAGTGGTAACATTTATTTTTTAATACCTTTTAATCAGGTTTGTTTTGTTTTATAGTTTTGATTATGGTGACAAATTTTGGTTGGTGAAAAATCGTTATTTCTCCTGCAAATGTAAAAGTTCGAATTGTCGTTATGCCAATCTGCCACATTTAGTAAATGGTGCAGCAACAGCAGTCATTGAGGTAGATGACGACGACGATGAGGAGGATGATATAACCGATACGACCTCAGCAACGACCTCAACCTTAAATCAAACACAAAATATGGTTGCCACTACCACAAGTGCAGCGGGCCACAGCAGTGTGACAGCAACAAATCTTATACCAGCCGCAGCTGCCCAGCTTGTACAAAATTTGGAAGATGTTTCCATAATTAGTGTAAGTCCTCAGGTTACCTTAACTCCCATAAATCACCATAACAACAACAATAACGCCACAACAATTACAACCACTAATTCTTTGAGTGTTAATCAACATGACAGTGCTGGAGCAGCAGCAGGAGGAGGAGTCTCAGTTGGGAATCATCCCTAGCTTGGGGATTTGCCCAATTATTCAATTATTATTTTATATGACACTTAAGTTACAAGGGGTTTCCTTTACAACTACTTATACATATTGTTAATAACTACCAGACACACACACAACCATAGACATAGGACACAATCACTATGACACTTAACAAGAAATTATGTTAATTCTATTATTATTTTTCCTCTTTTTGGTAATTTTAATAAGCATTTGTATACAATGAATGAATGATTGCTTTGAGTGTTGAAATTAACCAAAAAAATCGATTCCTTACAAAAACAGAAATTTGAAAATTAAAATTTACAAATATTTTGTGGTTCCTGGTCATATTTAGATCTACAACAAAAAAAAAACACACACCCACACACAACTTTCAAAGCAATTCGTTTACTTTTGTCTTCTTGCAGAACAGAATGTAAGGCTTAAAGTTAACTTTAAAGAAAACAAATATCCTATTTATAATACATATGTCGTCTCTAACATTTAACATTTAAGGAATATAGCTTTTAAGTCATTGTAATGAAGTTATTTCTTTTTTTTTAGTTCTTAAGTTAAGTTCCTTCTTTTTATTGTGCCCTTTTTAGTTTATTATTATTTCTTTTTTTATTTATTTTTATAGAAATTTATATTTTCAAAAATATGAATTTACAATAGCCAAACGTAATATAATTTCAGATTGTTAGATAAGGACTGTACATTCAAATAAAAAGGATCACAAATCGGACAGCACTTGTTTGGAGAAAATTTTAAGAATTATAGCTACCTGTTTGCAGTATTTCCAATACGTAACATGTTTTACAAAAGCTTGCTTTTAGCTTGGATTTTTCAGAGCCTCCATTACCTATGGTCTTCATTCGAATGACTTTGAAGGGGACATTTTTGCCTTAGATTCAGATGCAAACACACAATAGACAGAAGACCCTCTTACATGTTTTCAATGAAGCGAATATATTTTCTCAGAACAGTAGAAATCCCAACATATTTTTTTTTTTTGTATAGAAGACTTCTACGAAGGCCTATGAAAAATAGAATTTGAAAAGTCTCCTTTTCATTAAAGTTTTTTCAATCTCTCCCATATGTTTAAACGTATTCTGTACACAGTGAGAGTTTTGGAATCCCTTAAGATCTTTTAAAAGGTTATTCAGCTGAAAAAATTGAAGACCTTAAGAAATATATAATAGAAGACACTTATTTTTGTAGGAAAAACTAAACTCGTTCCAGATCGTAGACCCAATGTAGTGGGAAGAGAAATCCTTGTAAGTCTCATCCTTAAGAGTCTTTTGTTGAAATGCATTTTAAGAATTTTTTTCAAATTTGGAATTTGGAGCTTGCAATGGATACTACTTGCCATTACAGAAAGTTGTCATGTCTTCGCATAACCTCATTTAAATGGTACCTCCCATACATTATTTGTATTAGCGATTTTAGATACATTTTTTAACAGAATTATTTTAAACTTGGGTATTTGGAGGTCGTAATAGGCACCGTCCTGGATAGCACTCCACACATTTTTATAGCTCAATATAACACTAACACGTGATATTCGGAATTTTTAAAATAGAAGTGGATTTTTCCTTTCAAATGGTGGAAGGTAATTACTTGTTTTTTTTTTTTTTTCTTAAAAAAATGAGGTTTTGAAGTTGAGGAGACCACTTCAAGACATTTTTCTTCGTCCTCAAGAGTTTTTATAAAAATGTTATTAAACGAATTTTAGGAAAAAAAACACGAGGATAGTCGTCTGAAAAATAATTAAAACCCTTGTTTCTTCGGGGAGCCGTGGATTTCAGCTCTTAAAATTATACTCTATCTAGAGAAGCTCCTATGACAAATGAGGGTCCTTTTTAATCATCCAAATTTTGTTTTATTTTCTTTAATATAACAAACTGCCATAGTTTTTTTTAAATATAATTTTTGAACTTATTTCAAAGTTTCTTAAGTACTTTTGTTGAGTTTTTTTCCATATTTGTATTATTTTTGCAGAACTGCAACAATTCTTTTTTTGTTTTTTTTTTTTAAATATTTTTTTTTTTTTAATTTTTTCCCTTTTATTTTTTTTGTATTTGTCATTATCCTGCATAACTGCCAAGAAATTTTTTCTTAATTTTTATTTATCTGGATTTTTGGTTTTTTTTAAATATTTTTTTACTTTTTCAAAATTTCTATTATTTTCTTAAACATAAATAAATGTCATTTATTTTTTTGTCATAGCTTTTTTTAAATTTATTTTTTAATTTTTTAAATATTTTTTTAATTATTTAGGCTTTCCCTAGATTTTTTATATTAAAAATATTGTTTTGATTTTTTAATTTTTTTTAACGTTGTTTAAAATTCTGTATTTATTAATTTTTTTATTTTGATTTATTTTTAATTCATTTTTTTTTTAATTTTATCAAATTTTTTTTAATAACTTTGTTATTATTTTAGATTTGTTTCTAACAGAATTATACAAAAAATATATACATATAAAATATATACAAATATACAACAGAAAACTAGAGAATATTTATAAAAAATAGAATATGCCATAAGTGCCTAAATATATAAATAATGGTTATAATTTTGTTTAGACATTTTTATCTATTTTTTATTAAAGAAGTTTATTATTTTTTTAATGTAGTGAATGGTTATAACTACAATATTGCATATTTTTGAACTATTTTTCCTTTAAAAAAAATATTTTTTTTTTTCATTTTTTTAATGATTTTATTTTTTTTAATATAATTAATAGTTTTTATTTCTTTATAATATAAAAAAGTATATGTAATATTTTTTACTTCAAAAATTACTCTTTATTTTGAATTAAAAATTAAATTTTTTTTATTTAAAAATTAATTTTTTTAAATGACTTTATTTTTCCAATATTATTAATTAATAAATAATATAAATTTTTATATTGTTTTCTTTATAATATTTGAAGTAAAAATTATTTTTTTTTTATTTATTATTCTTTTAATTATTTTATTATTCTTAATATTATTTATTAATTAATAATTTGTTTTTTTATAAAAAATTAAAACAAATTTAAAAAAAAATATTTTTTTAACTGATTTTATTTTTTTCAATATTATTAATTAATAAATAATATTGATTTTTATTTTGTTTTCTTTATGAAATTTGAAGTAAAAATTATTTTTTTTTTATTTAATATTTTTTAATATTATTTATTAATTAATAATTTTTATTTTGTTTTCTTTATAAAAAATCAAACAAAATTTTTTTTTCTTTAAAAAAATATTTTTTAAAATGATTTTATTTTTTTAATATTGTTAATTAATAAATAATAATGATTTTTATTTTGTTTTCTTAATAATTTTTGAAGTAATTTTTTTTTATTTACATTTTTTAATGATTTTTTTTTTTGATATTATTTATTAATTAATAATTTTTATTTCGTTTTCTTTATAAAAATTAAAACAATTTTTTTAAATGATTTTATTTTTATAGTACTATTAATTAATAAATAATATTGATTTTTATTTTGTTTTCCTTTTTTAAGATTTGAAGTAAAAACTAATTTTTTTATTTATTTTTTTTAATTAATTTATTTTTCTAATATTATTTATTAATTAGTAATTTTGATTTTTATTTTGTTTTCTTTATAGAAAATTAAAACAAAAAGCATTTTCTTTATTTTATTTTTTTTTTTTGTAAGTAAAAATTAAATTTTTATTTTTTAATTTAAAAATTTAATTTTTGTTCGATTTATATTTTATTTGATTTATTTTTTATTTGATTTATTTTTTATTTGATTTATTTTTTGTTTGATTTTTATTTTTTTTAATATTTTAATTATGGAAATCATTTATTCTTTTAATTTTCTTTTGCATTAAAAGTAACCATAAAATAGGTTTTCATTATATATATATATACTAGTACATAACAATAACAAAAATTTAAAAAAATAGTCAATTATTGCTTAAATGAAATTATGAGCAATTGTAAAATAAAAATCGAGAGAGTAATGTTTTTTTTTATTAATTTCCAAAGAGACTGCAAGATTTTTTTTCTTAACAAAATAATTATCACATTATTTTAAACTTGTTTTTAATTTAACGACATGTTATGTAGTTTATTATGTTTTTTATTTTTAATTTTATTTTTTGTTGTTAATTATTGCAATTGCATTGAGTTTGCCAATTTATATTTTTTTTTGTAGGAATAAATATACATATAAATAAAAAAATGTAACTCCCAAAATATATATTGATTATGAATACATGATGTTAAAAAAATGAGGTTTGAGGGGAGTTTTTTTATAATACCTTTAAAAAAACGTTAAAAGGAATTATGTTTTAAGAGAATAATTTCGTATTTGAGAAAGATACTTTGTAAGATTTTCTGTCTAAAGAATTGTCTCTGGAGTTAAAATATCTCTTCATACACGGATATATCACAAATTCTTAATATTTTAAAGGAAATTTTGAAAGTACATATGAATACATAAAACTAACTATTTACTCTAAATATTATGATTATAAACTATATAATACTATTATTATTGTAAAACTAATAAAACTACAACAATTTAGCAATATCATCACAAACAAACAAAGAAAAAACCCTAAATTCAAATATTATCATATAATGTTTATTATTGTCTTTATTATACTATACATATATATCTACATAATGAATAAATCATTTTTTTTATTTATAAGTATTACATTTTCGAATTAGTTTGAAAAATATTACAAATGTGAAGTGATCTTCATCACACACTTGATTGAAACAAATAAATACATACCCCCCATACATATAAATGTTTTCTAGACATATAAAATAAAAACGAGAAAAACATAACAAAACATATACATATACACTATTTTAAATGTTTTTATTAGTCACATACTAAGCAACACATATTACAAATATATTAAAAAAAAATAATAAAAAAATTAAAATAAATACAAATTAATTTCAACAAACCAGAAGATAATTTTTTTGATGTTGGAAGAAGTGCTATATTTTTCAGAAATATATGCCATTTTTTTATGGTATATATTAAGTATACAAATTTCTTTTGTTCAGAGACTCATAATGAAATTTGATCTGGAACAATTCTTACTTTGACACTTTCCGCAAAAAATTAAGTTTAAAGTGAGATTTCGACTCAGAATGGATACGAGTTGCAAACAAGCAAAGGCATTATTTTCACTTTTAGTACATAAATTTCGAAAGTAATTTTCATAAAAACTATTGTACCTAGACACATGGTTTATTCTGAGACTCACAATAAAATTTGATCTAGAACAATTCTTACTTTAACTTTTTCCACAAAAAATTAAGTTTAAAGGGAGATTTTGACTCAGAATGGATACGGGTTGCAAACAAGCAAAGACATAATTTTCACTTTTATTACATAAATTTCGAACGTAATTTTCACAAAAAACTATTGTACCTAGACACATGGTTTATTCTGAGACTCACCATGAAATTTGATCTAGAACAATTATTACTTTAAAACCTTCCGCAAAAAATTAAGTTTTAAGGGAGATTTTGACTCGGATTGGATACGTGTTGCACTATCAGTTAAAAAAAGCAAAGACATAATTTACACTTTTAGTACATAAATTTCGAATGTAATTTTCATAAAAACTATTGTACCTAGACACATGGTTTATTCTGAAACTCAGAATGAAATTTGATCTAGAACAATTCTTACTTTAATATTTTTCGCAAAAAATTAAGTTTAAAGTTAGATTTCGACTCAGAATGGATACGGGTTGCAAACAAGCAAAGACATA